CAGACATGATCAAGACTTGTTCTTTATTATAGTAAGTTGTTTGTGTTCTATTAGTGTAGGGTGTGTAGCCGATGTAGTCCTGCCACTGGAATATCCTCTCCAACACAATGTAACAAACAATACGGAGAGTAGAATCTCATCTACGGATAACATCTGTGGGACAGTGTCAAACCAAAACAAAGACACTGTCCAATTTGTCCATGTCTATAAGTACACTAGTACCGCTCTGCAATCAGAGAGGACCTATGTTAACAGTACGTGATTCATGAAGGTGTCCTCTGGACTACACACTGATGCACTTCTACTTCGCTACCAATACATGTCTATGTCGCAATTTAGTAAATTGAAAATTTTTTTTTTTTTGGGGGTATTTTTGATAATCTATTATTTTTTTTCATAATCGATTATCGAATTTGAGACTATAATCGATCGATTTTCGATTATAATCGATCATCGGGACATCACTATACTATAGTATACTATTATAGTTACAATCTACTCTTAGCATTCTGAGTTGACAATTGGTGGTTTTGAACAATGTTTATGTTCAAAACATCATACCGGCAAACTACCGCGAGATGGCACACACTCGTTCTGTGACTAGTCAGCTATATGCAAGCACCTAGAAAAATGATCTTGGGCTTAGGCCAGAAATAGGAGAATAAAGTGCCGAGTGAACACAATTATGTCGTTTAATACCCGTGGAGTTACCGTGTTATCTATACTTTAATGGCAAATTTCATTTGAGAAAACGGTTAGTTAAAAAATTTGTTCACTCAGTTCATGAAAATATAGCCTTTTTATATGGTATTGACAACAACTTACAATAATTTTTATAATGATCGTTGATAGTTGTGTAATGAAACGGGACAGTTAAAAAATATACTGCCACCACCGATTTCTAGCCATTGGCACAATGCTAAAACAGTCGAGCTGCTACTGATACTGACTCCAACGTGCATTATTTATTCTATAGTCTACTAGCTGAAACTTGCTGTATGCACTGTAGCTAATGCAGTGCATTGATTCAATGGTAACTTACCTTGGTCAGATATAGTTGTACATTGAAGACAGCAAATTTTAACCAGTATTAATGGCTATAGCATCACAAATCAGGAATAAACATAGAATAAACACATATGTTGTTATCTACTCCTGATAATGTGAATAATTCAACTATTCCCCTCCTACTCCTCCTCCTCCTCCACCTCCCCTTACTCCCACATCACCTTCCCGATTCGATCTCCATCACCTTCTCACCTCTTGCTCATCTATCACTGTCTCCCCTCCTCCTGCCCCCTACTCTTCCTCCATCACCTTCTCCCCTCCTCCTCCTCCTCCTCCTCCTCCTCCTCC